CTTAAGATGTTAGCTAACCATAGAATTTAGAATAATCTAAATTGGACGTATACAGAAAGAGTTATGCTAGGATTTGTAGAAAGAGTTATGCTAGGATTTGTGAAACATGTACAGGCTGCCTGGCAGATTTCAAGAACACATTAGAAATGATGTTGGAATGCATATGTAGATTCATTAACCCTAAAATTATTACTGCATTTTACCTTCTAAGTGAACTTAAATTCAAACTAAGAATTTCCTTAATCTGAATGGTAAAAATTTAGTTACATAAATATTAGTAAGAATTGCATCACGGGTGCAATAGCTAGAGTATTTCCATGCAAGTTACTTTATACATTATCAATGGTATGCATTATTCCTCATTAGATAGTTTCTAAATAATTCTTGTATTATCAAATACACATAATATGCTCCATTAAGTTTATGCATTTTATGAATAATATAGATAATATGCTCCACTGAGGTTAGGTAGAAACCATGTAGATTTCTTAATCGATTCAATTTCACTTATCACAAACCCTAAGCAATTGAGAATTCTCTGAACTTTCAACCAAAAAGATGTCTCAACTCTCTGAAATTTCAACCAGTTTCATACAATATTCATCCTATTTCATACAGTTCTTCTTATCACTTTGGTTTCACTATAACCTTTTGGAGTTATACAGTTACATTGATTACAAATTGCATATTCATACAGTATAATGAGCAGCAAGTACGTCAATGGAAGTATCATGATATGTGTGCTTACATGCTTAGTTATCCATATGTGTTTACGTGTTTATTGCTACATATGTATGTGCTTACTTGTTTCTTAATAAGTTGAGATATCCACTAAGCTTTATTTGCTCAGCGAGTTATTTATTTAACTCGTAGGTTTCGAGACTGGACAGTAGAGAGTCAGCTTACAACTGCTGGAGTTCATCTTTGGAAGACCCAGTCTTCAGGGTAGCTACTCATTTTGATATTTTGATTCTGTATATCCTCCTTATACATGGCATGTACAGGGCACACAGTTGGGCCCATTTTTCATTTTGAAAAATTCAGTATCATGTCTTTGTAAAAATATTAAGTACATATCTATATTTTCCTAAATGTAAAAAGCAACAGCTTGACATCTAATCAGCATACAACATGATATTAGCATGAAAGGACATAGGTTCAACCAGATTGTTAATGAAAGGACATAGGTTCAACCAGATTGTAGCGTCTCAGCTCGGTTCATTTGAGTTAACGGGTGGACCGGGAAGGGATGTTACATAACCAGTCCTCTCATTATTTTTCCATTCTCTCTTTCTGTTTTTTGAACAACAGGATGCCACCCTGTGGTGATCCATTTCATCCTAATTTCATATTTCATATCATCCATTTCTTATTTCATCAGATGCACACGAGGGCACCGATCTTCAATAAATGGCAACGGTCCCAGACCATCCTCACAATCCCATGATGACCCATTTCATCCTAATTTCACCTAGAATCAAGACACAATATTATCTCATCACAAGTAATCCAATCAACTCATACAATATAATAAATCGCACAAGAGATCAATATGCACATATGAGTATAATCATATATATATATGATTTTCATATGTTTATAATATTATAATTTATATGATAGATGATACGTGTATAATGTTATTTTTATAATATAGTATTAAAAGAGTGAAGGCTGAGTATCATTCATGTATATGTACATATTTATAAGATGTGAAATGGTCGATGCATGTATACAAATGATGATATGCATAATTTATTATTACTCATAATAATAAAAGAAGAAGCAAGCCTTCATTTGAATTTTGACTAGCAGGAGCGGTAGACAAATTCGAACGATCTAGATAAAATACAAATATAAAGGAAAGATTACATTAAACAGATGACTTTTCTTAAATAAAAAATTACATAATTAATCTAAATCTTATCTAAATCTTATCGATATTTTTGACAGCAATTCCCCTAAAATAGGGCTTTCCTTCTGTTTAAGTATCAACCATTTAGTATACTTATATACTTATACAACGCATCCTTTGGGCAATCAATAATTTTAATATCTAACTGCCATAAACAATAATTTTATAATCAATTAATAGCTTATAGATTAAAATAACCTTCGATATAATCCCAATACATTCTCAAATATTTTTACTTCATCTCGATATGATTTACTTCCTTAACTAGTCACCAAATAATAAGTCTCTTATATATACAAATATAAACAGTCTTTTATTTGATTAACTTTACTCAAAATATTATATCTAACTTTACTCAAAATATTATATCTTCTAAATAACCTAATTCATCACTCATCCAGCAATAAACTGAATCTTAAAAATCGGATTCAAATTCGGGTTCAGTGTATTAATCCCATGTTACTGCCTCCCAGGGTCTTATTGGAGACTTGTCGGCCGGTTGTCGGATCACCGCTGTCTATGGTGGCTGGAAAACCGTGGCTGCTTGGAATCGAGCGCTCTTCACACCACCTAGCTCGGATTTCACTCAAGAGTCCATTTTTTGCATTGGCTACAATAAATCAACCCTCTAACTGGCCGAAACGGGCTTGACTTGTTTGTTGCGCTGACTGGAAACGAACAGAGAGAGAGAAGTAGTGCTGTTCCTCGCTTGAGTTGCAACGCTCCTCGGAGTCGCAAACAAGGAGATGCACAATATTGAGCGGTGATAGGTGGCTGAGATCATGAGCTATGGTGCTGCTGCGTTCACTCGAATGGAAATAGAGGGAGAGAGGAGCTAAGGCGCGACGACGAGGAGTGGTGGCACAATCGTTAGGCCTGTCTTAGGTGGCAGATAACCAGGAGAGAGAGAGAGAGAGAGAGAGAGAGAGAGAGAGAGAGAGAGAGAGAGAGAGAGGAAGAGAGAGAGACGTTGAGAGGCGCTGCCCCACTGAGAACGAAGAAGAATAGAAAGGGAAGAAGAAAAAAAAATTATAAGGGTTGTCTAAGACTATTTCATTTTGATTGTTGAATCGATGTTGGTCCAACTCAGCGAGTTTTAGTTATGCGGTCTTGTCATCTGAGAGAGAGAGAGAGAGAGAGAGAGAGAGAGAGAGAGTGAGAGGCGCTGCCACTAGAACGAAGAAGAAGAAAGGGAAAAGAAGAAAAAAAAATTATAGGGTTGTCTAGACTATTTCATTTGATTTGAATCGATTTGGTCCAACTCAGCGGTTTAGTTCGGTTTTCATCTGATTTACGGATTTTTCATCCTATTTGAGGATTCCAATTGATTTACAAGTCCAGTTAACAATAATAAAATATTCCCTTTAAATTTTATTTTATAATCCTATTGGTTGGAATTTAAATTAAATTTTTAAATAGAAAATCTATGAAATTTTATTTTTGGGTCATTTCATTATAATCCCAGACTGGCCATGCACGCATCTGAAAATTTCCGACTTCATTTCATTAAACAAAGCCTTAAAACATATAAGATAAATTTTAGTTGTAAAAATACAAAATGTTACTGGGCAAACAGAACATGCTTATGAATTATGATAGATATTTGCATGAGTTGATTGAGAATAATGAGTTTAGAATGATTATGTCTAAATTCCAAATTTTCAATTATTAAGGAAAAGGAAATTATCCTCTCAATGAAGGCATTGATGACATCTTAGAAAATAAGGCAGAGAAATCAATGGCAGCTTTACATATTGTCAAAAAGTCCTAATAAGTATTTCAAATTCAATCCTCATTTTCAAAAAGGAAGTTTATATACACAAAAAGAGAATTGAGCACTTGGTTCGATTAATAAAAATATCAAACCATATCGAACAAGTTTAATTTTAATTTGATTCAGTCTTTTGTATAATTGGTTCAATTTTAGTTTTTAAAAGTAATAATTGATTTTTTTTAAATTCAAATTAGATTTTTTTTAACCTTAAGATAAGATCTACCTAAACATAATTAAAATCAAACCAAATGGATTGAATTTGATTTTGTTCTATATATTTGTTGGTTAGTTGGATTTTTATTTTAAAAAAATTATGCTCATCGCATATATAAAGTATGAGTGTTTATGGTTCAGTTTGGTTCAATTTAAAATCTTATTCAAATTAAATCTATAATGACCATTTACAAAAATTTAAATTGAATGAATTTAAACAAACTAAATATGTGATTTTAGTAGTAGTTGAAAGAAAAAAAATATACACTTCAAAATCTAAAAACTTTAGAAGCACTAAAAATCAAAACAAATAAACAAAATTGTAAGAAACAAAAAAATTAAAAATAAAATAATATAATATAAAAATAAAAACAAAAATATTATGTTGTTGAAATATATTACAAACAATAATAATATAAAAAGATATTTAAATTTTTTATTGGATATTCCTCAATAATTGAATTTAGACTTGTAATTTCTACTAATACAATAAAAAAAAAGGTTAAACTTCAATAATTTTTACATCAAATATAAAATTACAATTAAAATAGATAAATAAATTATATTTAATTATCTTGTGCAATTTCTTCAATTTTTCAAAACTATCTAAAATTTTTTGCAATTCAATATATTAAAATTGCTCTTCAATCGATTTTCATGCAGACAAGTGCAAATAAATTACACCTGTAATTTATATAATTAATTACTTTAACACATATAATATGATAAAAAAAGAAATATTGTGAAAACTAATTATTTATGAATGTTTATATTTTTGATTTGATTTTACGTCAAAAATAATTAAAATCCATATTAAACAAAATCATCAATTTGTAAAAACCGCGATTGCAGTTTAATCTGAATTGATTGAAGTCAATTTGGACGGTTTGGGGCGATTTATTAACGCCCACTAACTACAGTGAGTGCATAGGAAAGTGACAAAATAGCCAAAGAGAGAAAAATGTCTTTTTTTTTCTTCGAGAATGAGAAAAATGTCTTTTAGTAGGGGAGAGGAGAGACACTGTGTATTTGTCCTTAGAAGAAAAAAGAACCATATATATAAATAGTGACTCCATCTGTACAAAACTGACACACTATGAAGTCATGCACTTAACTGAACATCTAATGAACTCAGTTTTGAAGTAAGTCCACAGTACCAATACATATACTCTCTCTCCTCCTCCTCTGTATTGCCAACCCACACTTTCCCTGATTTCCCTACTTCAGTACCTGCAACCCTCTCTCTTCGTACAAGACTGCAAATTTTTAATACCCAGAAAGACTTACACGGTCTTAACAGTAATTTAGGTAGACAAACACTGCCCTATCTTTTAAAAACCTTTCCATTACTACCAAAAAAAAAATAAAATTGTTTCTTGCTTTCAAACATCACTTTCAAATATGAACTAAACCAATAACATGTAAGTGTTCTCTACAAAATCTTGTTGGAGGGTGAATGGGGTGCATGTTCTCTGGCTTAGCTGCAAAATTTGCTTTCTTTCCTCCATCTCCACCTACCTACCAGATCAAGAAGAAAGAGAATGGCAAGCTTACAGTCATCTCATCTTCTTCAATGCCACTTCCTCTTGGTGATGATGATTCATTTGATGTACTATTGATTGATACAAAGAGAGGGAATAAGATTGTTGCTTTCTATCTGAAAAATCCATATGCAAGGCTTACTCTGCTCTATTCCCATGGCAATGCTGCTGACCTTGGCCAGCTTTATGACCTCTTTGTTCAGCTCAAGATCAATCTCAGGGTTAATATCATGGGGTTAGTGTTTTCTGTTTTCTATTTTCTTTTACTTTTTTTTAACATTTTGTTCAATCAGATTGGTGTAGCTTTTTGTTTTAAACTTTCTTGTCCAGCATTTGTCGTACTGTGGCTCTGGGGTTTTGTTGGGTTAGATCTGTGATTATTGATTAGGGTTTCATTATTATTCAGTTTTAATTTGTTGGTAATGACCTATCTATCCTCCAGGGCTTCTTTTATTTATTTATTTTATAAAAGTAAAAGGCTGGTTAAATGGTTTCATAAATCATTTTCCACTTTACTTGTTCTTCATCTCTTCTAACTTTTAAAGTTAACCGGATAAACAGCTTTGGTAAAATTTCCTCAGAGTTTGTTTTTTATTTTCTTCAGACTTTTATGCCTTTCGGGCTCTGTTAGATGTAACTTATTGTTTTTCCCCCTATTTGCTTTTACTCGTTATCTCGTCTACAGTCTTTCTATATCGGAGATCTTGAAAAAACCAAAAAAAAAAAAAAAAAAAAAAAAAAAAAAAAAAAATTTTCCCCCTATGTGCCTTTTACTCGGTTATCTCGTCTACAGTCGTTTCTTAATCGAGATCCTGAAAAAACCAAAAAAAAAAAAAGATAAAAAGAAAATGAAAGAAAAGAAAGAAAAAAGACAGCTTGAAAAAAAAAAAAAAAAAAAAAAAGAAAAGAAAAAAAAAGACAGCTTTAAGCTTTATCACTGGCTTTTTTGCAAATAAATTAGTACTTCTAAATTTTGGCATTATCTAAAATCCTTGAAACTGTAATTTTTGCTGACCCCTTTTGGTTCCGAAGAAGTTTGCTCAATTTTGTAATTCTCTCGCTGTTTTCTTTTTGAAGTGCTCTCGTTTCCCTAATACTATGAATATGATGCAGCTATGATTATTCTGGTTATGGAGCCTCTACTGGTAAGGTAAGCTGTCACTGGCTCAACTTAAGCTTTCTAACTTGAATGGTATTTTATTGAATCTGGAAACATTGAGGCAATCAGTAATGTGGTTTGATTTATGCGTACCAAGTCTAATTTGGGTATACTATGAGAAACTGTGGTGGAAATGGAGAATTTGAAAATTCACATCTACCGTTCAGCTTCCAGCACTATCATCCTATCCCACCATCACTACGTTTAGGCTTGGATTTATAAGTCTTCTCCTTTTAGTTCGTGCCATTTCTATCACATGTCCATACAAAAGTGACAAATTCAAAACTCTCTCGTATTTGAAATCCCAAACTTTACGATTTCTGGGTATTTCTAGTTGGGGGGTGTGGGGCGCAAAGTGTTTTACTAAGATTTGCCAAGTCTTTCAGAGGAGAAGAGTGAAAACAATTGAATCATCACAAATGATATTCTATTAATTTGGGATCGTATGGATTTGAAGGAATGTAACTAGAAAGTGTACTGAATCCTAAATATGTTCATCTTACTCTAGCAGAATGGGAAAAGAAAATCCATTATAGTTCAAGCGTGCTATGGGATCTCAATTAGATCAACTTGGAGGATACAAAAAAAGAAGGGTTATCATGGATCCTGGGAGTTGAGTCTAATTGACTTTGAAAGCTTATGTTGTTGTGCCCATTAGTATCTCATTTTAATTCTTATTGGGGCTCTTTAGTAAATTGTCCTACCTGCCACAATGCCTACCTTGTTGATCACTAATCTGAAATATATGTTTTTCTGAAAGCAGTAATCAACTTTGGGTAAAATATAACTAGGCCAACATTCCTATCGGACACAACTTCATGAACCTAAAATTTGAAAGAACGTTTATTGGACATCAAAGCTAGACCTGTAAGTTTCTAAATAGGCACTTCTGCTCCTCTGCAGACGATAGCTAGGAATTTCGATTCCCCGCTAAACCATCTGTTATCTCTACATGAAAGATGTCCCTGTCTCCTTGTTCCATTAGTTCCTACTATCATTTAACATTTCCTCTTCCTGTTGGTGAATTCTACCAACTTCATGAAACTAGGCATGACCATAGTTCTAAAACCCCGGTTTCGGTTTCAAAACTGCCGGTTTTGGTTATAAAAAAGGTGGAACCGGAACCGAACCACTTTTAAACTGTGCCGGTGTCAATTTCTTCCTAGTTTTGAACCAAAATTAAATAATATATTTTAAACTTTTTAAAATATTTTTTTATGATTTGTAGCTTGAGTAAATAATAATATTATAAAAGTATTTTTTTATGAATTTGTAGCTTGAGTAAATAATAATAATAGAGAAATAATAATGATAAATAAATACTTAATATTCGAACCAAAAACTAAATATGAATTTAATAAAAAATTACTTAAAATTGCTAAAACTATTATCATAAACAAACCAAATAATTTGAGAGGTTTTTTTTAAACATAATTTTTCACGGTTTCAGAAATGAAACTGCTGTTTTGGGTTTTCAAAATGAAGAACCCCGAGTAACGCAGAACCTAAGTTCACAGTTTCAGCTAATAATAATAATAAATATTAATATTGAAAAAAACTAAATTAATTTAATAAAAATTCTTAAAAATTGCTAAACTATAATAAAACAAAAATAATTTGAGAGTTTTTTTAAAAACATAATTTTTCACGGTTTCAAAATGAAACTGCTGGTTTTGGTTTCAAAAAATGAAGAACCGAAACCAAACCTTAAGTTCACAGTTTCAGCTACGGTTTTAGAACCAAAACTTTTGACTACGATTTAGTGCCAGTTTTGACCGTTTCGGTCCGGTTTGAAACCGAACTGTGGTCATCCCTAAATGAAACTGACCCCGCCACTCATCTAAGACAAGCGGTTTCTTAATTCATCTCTTGGTACCTGAGAAATGGAAGATCTGCATTTATATTTATTGGTCTTCATGCTGTCTTTTGGAAACTGAATACAAATTTATTTTTAAAAAAATATAATGAAATATCTCTTTGTTATGAGAAATTGATTTGGATTGAGCTTGGCATTATGGTTAAACTAGTTACTTTGACTAAACTGGTTTCTTAGAATAAAATATCCTAATGTTAGGAAAGGGGGAATCAGTGCAGCTGCATGACTGCATCTGAATCTGCAATAGCAGGTTCAATTGAAATGACTTCATATAGTTTGCTTCCCCTTTATCATCAACAACCAAATAATTATTATATTTTCTCTAAAAACTGAAACACTTTTTATTCCAACAATAAGGTCAGAATCATCTAATTTTATTCACATTGTGGGGCTTTTGAGATCTTCATTGGCCCCCCCATAGAGTTATTATTGCTGCATTCCCTTGATGTAAACACTTTGAATGGTCCTACTAGTTGCAATGGATATATTTTAGTCCCATGTTATTTTAGAAAATCATTACTTTCTAATGTTGATTGCTGAAGAGATTTGCTATTTTTTGTTGTTGTGATATCCAGCCTAGCGAATCTAACACATATACGGATATTGAGGCGGTTTATCAGTGTCTTCAGACAGAGTATGGAGTCGGTCAAGAAGACATAATTTTGTATGGACAGTCAGTTGGTAGTGGTCCAACATTGCACTTGGCAGCTAAGTTGCCTAGGCTGAGAGGTGTAGTTTTGCATAGTGCTATTCTTTCTGGTCTTCGTGTGCTTTGCCATGTAAAGTTTACATTTTGCTTTGACATATACAAGGTATGTGATTTGTCCTGGTTGTTGTTACTTGCTAGATATGCTTGGCCATATGCTGACCACAACACTAAAATTTGTCTGCATGTTGGCATATTAGAGTGCTGCTGGATTAAATCTCATTTTTAGACACTAATATTTCAGCAACTAGCTAGCATTATGCATGTGTTAATGAAATCTCTGCTGTCACTTTAAGACTTCCTACATGTCTTATATATGCAGAATATAAACAAAATTCAAAAGGTGAAGTGTCCTGTTCTAGTGATACATGTAAGTTTCTTTCTCCATTTTACTTCCTTTTGCTTGGTTTCTGCTTAGTTTACTTGTCCTTAATATGCTTGTTTGCTACTATAATCACAAACTTTACAAATATATAAAATGACCCCATTAGAAAGAACGCCACCTCCTTGTTAATGTGTTAAAGGATGGATAAAATATTTAATATTCCTCTTCTTCTATAAGAATTGCTTGATCTGATTCCATTACAAAGCAAAATTTTCTTGCAAAATTGCTACCTTGCCATTCAGCAGCTTGTGAATAATTCTAGAAACAAATATGAGAAGTTATATGAAAATTTCAAAACTGCTGTTCTTTTTCTTTCCACGTTTTTATTTATAGTTCGACACAAATCCGTTACAAGCGCACATTATATATATGAAAATTTACATGTTCCTCTTCAGGTATAGTGGTGTGGTATGTACTGTATCAAAAATGTACACTTTACTCTTGTGTGACCATTAGCACAAACTATAAGGATTGAAGGTACTAAAATTGGTTTACATTATTAAAATTTAGCAACTAAAGAAAGAATATGTATGTGTATAATCAAATTTAGTTCTTAGGAGAGTTCTAATTTTTCCTCCATATATGAGTGAAAATCAAGAGAAACCTATTTGCATGTAAAAGATGATTTGATGAAAGGTTAAAAGGAGAATGTCTATGTCCTATTTATTATTTTACATGTTAATCACAACTCAAATTGTTGACTAAGTAAACAATTGCAACGACAACTGCTAATGTCAAATAGATAGTCATTAATGATAACATCTCTACCAACTGCTGACCATAGTTGCTAATCCAAACATTTATAGGAATTTAGAAAATTGCTTCTACAATCCACCACTACCTACTAACATTAAGAATGAGAAGTCACTCCTATTGGTAGAAAACAAAATGTCTGGAAAGGAACTTCCCTTTCCTCCATAATAGAAAAAATGCAGCTCTACTTTCTTTAATTATCTCTATGTTAAATGCAACATATAATCAAGTTCATTAATGGAAAAGGCCAAATAAAAGATTATGCAAATTGGAAAGGGACTCATTGGATTTATACACTATTGCATATCCCTTTCTTTGTTATGGATCTGATTTTTTTTTATTTTTTTAAATGTCCGTGTATATATACATATTATACTAGCTGTTATGCATCCAAAAACCTTTTTATTATATCATAAGTATCTAATGCCTGTCGAACTTGTATATATGATGTTTTGACCAGTTCTTGTGGCCTTTATTTGGCATGCCTAACGCTGTTGGGTCATTTACTACAAAATCTGACACTGCATACCCTCCTTAGACATGCTTATGGTTCATAGAAAGAATTTTTTAAATGGAACAGAACTCTTCTGACCTATTGAAGGGTGGCTCACAAGCCTTAATCCAATTCGATGTTGGTCTCTATTTCCAAAACAATTTTTAAATGTGTATAAGGTTTCGTGAGACATGTATATGCCTTCTATCTAATATGGAGATTTTATTTGGCCTATTTTCTATTTGTTAGTGGAAATACCTGATAGCATAGAGGATTCTTAGAGTATCTAAGGAAAGAAACAACTCAAGAATTAGATGGTGTGCATGTGTGTTCCATCCTGGTTCTCTTTATTTACCAAATTCTTTCCATGGAAGAGATAAGGTACTATGTGTGACAAATTGCTGATTACTAGTTGATATGACAGATGACCATCCAATCACTAAATCCCCCACTCACCACTCTAGAGCCTAGTAGAGATCTGAAGTTCACTGCCCATCCAATTGCCTGTAGTTCCACAGCTGTCCCACAATACTTCATGATTCTTCAAGTTTGGCCTCTTTTCGGTGCACATTACAGTTAGATCTTTGGCCCTTCCATTATTGGCCTGGACGACCCCTACTCCTGCCGAAAACCCTGGAAAAGAGAGGGGGGGGGGGGTTAAACCCCTTTCCCCATGAATGTCTTCAAGTTTGGCCTCTTTCGGTGCACATTACAGTTGAAGATCTCTGCCCTTCCATTAAATGTGGCCTGGACGACCCTACTCCTGCCGAAAACCTTGGAAAAAGAGAAGGGGGGGGGGGGTTGTTGGCCTAGAGCTGTGATAGATGCATAACAGTGAATGCACCAGTGTCCATGTGATGAGGAGTCATGCTTAGGTACATAAAGATTTGTTTCTCGGTTCAAGTTAATGTGGTTGGATGTACAAATTTTCTAGATGAAATAGTTATCGAGAATGATTTAGTAAGGGGTGGAACTGGACTTCAAATATACTTTTCAATGGTGGTGGGGTTGCAGAGCAATGCAAAAAAAAAAAAAAAAAAAAAAGAGAAATAACGAGAAAAAAAAAAAAAAAAAAAAAAAAGAAATAACAAGAAACAATTTAATGTTGGGGTGGCATAATTATGTTATAACTATTTATGTGTTTAAAAAGTATACATAAATGGATTGGTAAAATGAAATTTTGGGAAGCTCAGTGTGCCTGCTTTATTTGCGATTATTTGGTGCTTGACCCTCAATTAATTGGTTCCATTCCATCTCTAACATAGGGCCATTGCTAGGGGACTTAATGATGCTGATTGAGTTCTATATATTTGAAATGGTAGTTGATAATGATCAATTCCAATAATTAATAAAATATGCGATTGATGGGAAGGTTCCTTTCATGCTTCATTCTGTTACAACGTGATTTTTTTTCCTTCAAAAAAACTCCTTGAGTTGACAAGAACTACCCGGAGGAGAAAGAGGAGGATTAGAGAGTCGTGTGAATCAGAACTATTAGGAGAACAATAACTCCCTTCGAATCATTTTGTTTTGTTTTATGTTCTTGTCTAACTATATCTTGTGGCTGATTTGGTGTCTAAATTATAAGACACTCAAAAGCTCTAGGATTTTGTTGTTATATCAAGGAAGATATGGTAGTGCATTTTTAGCTCTGTCTCTATAAACACATGCCATAATAATCCTTGTATATGTTTCTGAGGTTGGTGAATGAGTGATCGGCTAAGTTGCATCGTCTTCTTACAGGGTACAGAGGATGATGTTGTGAACTGGTTACATGGCAATGGACTATGGAAATTGGCACGAGAACCGTATGAGCCATTATGGATTAAAGGAGGTGGGCATTGTAACTTAGAATTATATCCTGATTATATCCGGCATCTCTACAAGTTTGTTCAAGAAATGGAAAATATAACCACAAAAATTCGTCTCAAAAAGATCCAGCAGAATCTCAGGTTAAAACCAAGGTTTGGAATTATTAATTCTAACAGGTGCTGTAGATTTAAACTGTGGCGACCGAGGTGCCCTGAATGTGTCAGACCTAGTTGCATAAAATGTTTGTGCACGTACAAATGCCCTGAATGCTGGAGATTCAGGTGTGTTAAATGTTGCTGCCAACCGAAGTGCCAAAAATGTCGGATGCCCAGTTGCTGCTGCGCTATTAAATGTTTACATTGCTGGTGGTGTGGGAACAAGTAGTGGGAGGATTAAACTGGATGCCGTTTTGTATAGATTTTACTGAATTTTCTAACACCCTCTCTAATCTTTGTGCATTTAGTGTACAAAACAAGAGGAAGTAGTAATCCAATTACCTTGTTAGAAATAACATAATTGAATGTTTCTCTAGATGTTACATTCTTTGAATTGGTTTTATTTCTTATGGGATGAATTACTGTTTTATCGATGAAATACACAGGGCAGAGAGCATAGCATAGTTCGGAATAACAGAACCAGTTCCGTTCAGTGTGGTTGTACTTTGGTTTTAATAGAAAGTCAGTTTTTTTCCGGTTTAGTTCTCATTAAATCCAAAACATAAGTTCAAATCTGCCAAAATAGATCAAATTAAACCAAATTGGTCTTGATTTGGGATTTTCATGGAAATATTTTTGATTTTTTGGACTTACAATGGTTCATTATGATTGAACGAATAAATCAAATTAATGCTCCTTCCTAAATTGCTACTGTTAGGATTTTACATATTTTGTCAATGCGCGATGCTGCAGGTGATTGCCGTTTTTTGAAAAATTTTAGTTTATTGAAAATAGATAGGAAAATTTAGTTTCATAAATACTTATAAAATTTTTATAATATCCTTTTTAAAAATTTAGTTTCATAAACACAATTGTTGTATGGTTAAAAGTCAAATGGAAGAGAAATATGATTAAATAAGTGTTATAAACCTCAAATGGATAGAAATAAATGATGAGTAATGGGTTAATTTTTTTTTTAAAAAAAAAAAAAAATTAAAACTTTAGGTTATAAAATAGTAGAAAATTAGGGAGACAATAAAGAGAAGGAATAGAGTGATCTTTATTGATGGGAAGTACATCATGGGTGGTACATAATTGGGAAATAGACTTCTACATTAAATAAACTTCTACATTAAAAAGACTTGTAGACTAATATGAATAAGACTTCTAATTTACATGAGACATCCACTAATTTCATAACACTCCCTCTTAGATATTCATTTTTTAAAGAACATGCGTTGTTAAAATCTTACTAAGAAAAACCCCTTGGGAAAAAAATTTAGTGAAGGAAAAAGAATACACGGTTCCTTTTTGAAAATACGCGAAGAAATACTACATCGTTAAAAACATTTACCAGGAAAAATCCAGTGAGAAAAACCTTGGTTAAAGGAAAAAAGAATGCAGTGCGTATTTTCTCCCCCTCATGAATATATTACTTGAGATCTTTGAGTCTACACTGTGACATCCCGACCCAGTAAAGCGATCTTAAGAGGACGGATAGAGCGAAGCTCCTGGCTAGCTTCTAGGATGGCAGGCTAGCTAGGGTAGTGGAATGCGGGACACAGGAATGAATCGAATTATATATCGAAAAGGACGGATAGAGCGAAGCTTCCTGGCTAGCTTCTAGGATTGGCATGCTTTAGCTAGGGTAGATTTGGAATGCGGGAACCACAGGAATGAATCGAATTATATATCGAAGGGGTAAACTAATCATTAGAAGCGCCTTTTTTGGTGGAATGGCTGGAAGAGTCTGGAAAAACTCCAAGGTTTAAGCGTGCTCGCTATTAATAGAAATCTTCAGGGTGATGAGTGACCCCTTGGAAAGTCTTCCCATTTCCACCTGCGGGGAATCATGAGGTCGTAAGGCGTCGTGAACTACACCCAAAGCGGACAATTCCTCTAGTGATTAGAGGTCGGGCATGACAGTTTGGATCAGAGCCGGACGCCCCTCCAGTAGATGATATGGTTCGAGGACGAACCACGGCGGGAAGCTAGTGGGGCCTGTGAACCGATTGACGCGGAACCCAATGGAAATAAAATTCCATGAAACTCTATTGACAAGGTTTTGGAAAGAGGGTCAAAAGATCTAAATTAAAACTCCCCCCATCATGGCCACCCCAAAGCTATGGCACCCAAAGCTTAAAGAAGCAAGAACACCAATAATAGAGTAAAAGAATAAGATAAACGACACAAGTGAATTGATAAGTTTACCTTGATTCTTTGATGCAATTAGAAGAATGCAATCTCACACTCTCTCTAAAGCAAAGAACACGCCTAAGCATGAAAAGTTGAAGAACTTCTATTTCATTGAATAATTGAATAATGTGTACAATATAACAAGCTATTTATACTAATTCTAAGAGGTCCAGATCCTTAAAAGATTTAGAATAGTTAGTCTAAATCAGCTAAGGATAAGGATTTAGCAAATCTAAACCAACTAAGGATAAGACTAACAAATCTTAACAACTTAATTCCACCAAGTAGTTTAAGGATAAACTAAATCCCATAAAATATGGTCAAATCCCTTAGGATTAGGAACAATCCCACAAAATATGGTCAAATCCCACAAAATAATGTCAAATCCCCAAGAATTAGGGGCTAATTCCACAAAATAGGGTCAAATCCCACAAAATAAGGTAAAATCCCTAAGAAATAGGAACAAATCCCTCAAAATATGGTCAAATCCCTATGAATTAGGATCAAATCCCTTAAATTCAGAAACAAGCAAGATCCACACAAGCAAATTTTAATGGTGGACGAAAAATTTTTTATACTCTTTCTTTTTTGTTTTGTTTTTTTTTTTTTTTTTTTTTTTTAAACTTCCAGATTTGAACAAGAACAAAAATTAACAAAATTTTAATTGAAGCAAATTCGAAATTTAAACTAAAGCAAAGCAAGAAAACACAAACACAAGAACAAGATGAACCAACAACGAAAACAAGAAGAAACAAAGAAAAACAAATAACACAAACCCCTAGAACTAAGATAAATAAGAATTTTACCTTAATCTTTCTTTGGTCTCCCCCTTTTGGAAAATACCAAACTGACGCGGAAACCAATGGAATAAATTCCCAATGAAACTCTATGACAAGTTTTGGAAGAGGATCAAAGATCTAAATAAACTCCCCCTTAAACTCCCCCTCTATGGCACCCAAAGCTTAAAGAAGCAAGAACACCAATAATAGAGTAATAGAATAAGATAAACGCCACAAAAAATTGATAAGTTTATCTTGACTCTTGATAAGTTTACCTTGATTCTTGATGCAATTAGAAGAATGCAATCTCACACTCTCTCTAAAGCAAGAACACGCCTAAGCATGGAAGAAGAAATTCTCTTTTATTGATTAATTGATTCTTTTACAATAAAACAAGCTATTTATACTAAATCTAAGATGTCCTGATTCTTAAAGGATTTAGAATAATTAATCTAAATCAGCTAAGGATAAGGATTTAGCTAATCTAAATCAACTAAGGATAAGACTAACAAATTTTAGCAACTTAAGGATAAGGATTAACTAATCCAAATCAACTAAAGATTAGCTAAATCTAAACAAATCTAAGATAAGGAATAATTAATCCAAACCAACCAAACCAACAGGCAACCACTAAAGGATAAAAATAAAGGGTTGGCCCCAATTTATTGTGGCCCAACGCGCATTAACAACAATTACAACTCAAAACTAATCAAAAATGGGCTAACTTATTACGCCAAAGTCTAGGCTCTAGTATGGCAGGGCGTGCTACAACCATCACATATGCCTCCAATAATGTAAGAAGCCTAGGTGTTCTCCCATGTTTTCCTTGAGCTCTATGGTTGGGGTGGTAAGCGAATCCCGTATCATTCCCTCCTTTCCCTCAAAAAGATTTTCGTCCCTCGAAATCTTAGTTAGAAAGTTTGAGGTACCCATTGCTTCCCTTGAGCTCCATGGTTGAGTGGTAGCGAATCCTTATCAGACATCCCGACCCGGCAAAGCGATCCTAAAGAAGGGCGGGTAAAGCGAAGCTTCCTGGCTAGCTTCTAGGATGGCAGGCTAGCTAGGGTAGTGGAAATGCGGGACCAGGAATGGAATCAAATTATATATCGAAAAAGGGGAAACTAAATCATTAGAGGCACCTTTGCGTGGAATGGCTTGGAGAAGTTGGAAGAAACTCCAGGGTTTAAGCCGTGCTCGCTTAATAGAAATCTCAGGATGGGTGACCTCCTGGGAAAGTTTCCCTCATTTTCACCTGCGGGAACAAAAAACCGTGAGGTTTGTAGGTGAGGTGTAGGGCGTGCGGGGACTACACTGAGGTGTAGGGCGTCCGTGGACTACACCAAAGCGGACAATTCCTCTGGTGATTAGAGTCGGGGCATGACATACACATTCTAATTTGTGTACCAACTTTTCAAAACTTGAAGTAGGAAGTGCTTTGCTGAACAAATCAGCAAGGCTGTCATTTGATCGAATTTGTTGAACATTGGTATCACCATTCTTGTGAAGGTCATGAGTGAAGAAAAAATTTGGTGAAATATGTTGTCCAATCTCCTTTAATGTACCCTTCCTTTAACTAATATATGCATGCAGCACTATCTTCATATAATATTGTGGAAACTTCTTTTTGGAAAGATAGACCGCTTGTACTTCGAATATATTGAATTATGGACCTCAACCAAACACATTCTCGACTTGATTCATGAATTGCTAAAATTTCTGCATGGTTAGAAGAAATAGCTGCTATAGTTTTAAAATAGTTGTACCTCCACATGTAAATAAGTACCCTGATTGAGATCTATCATCATGTGAATCTGATAAATAACCTACATCTACATAGTCAATTAAATCTGATTTTAATATATTAGCATAATATAAACCCATATCCACTGTACCTCGAAGATATCGAAATATATGCTTAACTTCATTCCAATATTTTCGTGTTAGGGAAGAACTATATCTTGCTAATAAATTTACAGCAAATGCTCTATCAGGTTGAGTATGACTAGCAAGATACATCAGTGCCCTTATTGCACTAAGATAAAGTACTTCAGGACCAAGAAGTTCTTCATCATTATCTCAAGGTTGGAAAGGGTCCTTTTTCATATCAAGTGCCCTCACAACCATTGGTATACTTAATGGATGTGCTTTATCCATATAGAACTGTTTTAAGACCTTGGCTATGTATGTGGATTGATGAATAAAAATCCCATTTTTAAGACCTTGGCTATGTATGTGGATTGATGAATAAAAATCCCATTTGGAAAATGCTCGATCTGTAAGCCGAGACAAAACTTTATTTTCCCAAGGTCTCTCATATCAAATTCTTTCTTTAAATAATCCACATGTTGGAAAGCTCTTTAGGAGTTCCAATAATATTTAAATCATCAACATAGACAGTAATAATGGCAAATCTAGATCCAAATTTCTTTATAAACACGCATGGGCATGTAATATCATTTTGATA